ATGCTTTTTTTTTTTTTTTTTTTTGGCTCAGTTGGGTCTTAGTGGGAAAGAGCAAGCAAAACAGAATTATAACATCTTCCACTTCCCACTCCCCAAAAGACAGCTAAAAAAAAAAAAAAAAACAACCCTGATTTTTGAATAAATAAACAAATAGCTCCTATTTAAATCTGCAACTAGAGCAGAGCTGCCCGTTAGAAATATAATGTGAGCCGTATTTTAAATATGGGGGGAGCTATATTCTAAAAAGTTTCAAAGATAAAATTAATTTTAAGAATACACCGTACTTAACACAAGGCATGTAAAATACCATCTCAACAGGCAACCAAAATGTAATTTATTACTGAGATATTTTGCACCCTTTTTTCATGCTAAGTTTTTGAAATGAACACGTATTTCGTACTTGCAGCATATCTCAGTTTGGACTAGCCACATTTCAAATGCTCCACAGTCACATGCTTACCATACTGAACAGCAAAGATCAGAAATGCTGCTTCTCTGTGGATTGTGTATCCCTTCCTATTGTTAGCTCCACCAAAACCCCAACCGGATTATAATAAAATCTAAAAGGCAACTTTTGGGGCACCTGGGTGCTTAGTCAGTTAAGTGTCCAACTTCGGCTCATGTCACGATGTCACGATTGGTGGGTTCGAGCTCGCATCGGGCTCTGTGCTGACAGCTCAGAGCCTGGAGCCTGCTTCGGATTCTGGGTCTCCCTCCCTCTCTGCCCGCCTCTCTCTCCAGGTAGGAAATAATGGCTATAGAAGCCAGCCCTGCCCTGCACTTCGGTGAGGTGAATAGACTTGTCTTAATGTCTTCTTCCTTGCACCCTATGTAACCATCTGTTAGGCATTTACAGCTATAGACTGTAAGTTCCTTGAGGGCTCACATCATTACCTAGCTCTGTTTCTCTAGTGCTTAGAAAAGTACCTGGCACATAGTTGGCGCTCAATGAACAAGTAATAAACAAAGAAATTAAATTAAATTAATATAGTTTCTTATTTGCCTTAGACACATTACAAGTGCTCCACAGCCATACATGCTACCGCTACTGTATAGGACAGCACAAATATAGAACATCTCCATCATCGTAGAAAGTTCTATTCGGACAGCACTGTCCTAGAGTGAGGGGCAGAAATACTATTTGACTGGACAGGTGACGGGCATCGCTAGAGACCACAAAAGTCCTTTTTTTATGAGCAACAGAGAATACCAGTGATATCAAATGACAAAGAAGCAAAAGCACACATAGGTATGTATTTTGGCCTCTAGAAACTTCGAATACAGCCGTGTTATGGTTTCCACTGGAAGAACAACCATGGCCATATATTTTTCCCTGAGTTTCTGTCTCCCTCTTACGGTTTTCTTACCTTGATTCCCATCAGGCACATTCCCCACAAGTGCCCTTCTTACCTCCTAGCCAAAATATCTAACGAACGCTTTCCCTTATTTCCTGAGATAAGTTGGCAATTTCAAAAGAAACTTTAGTACAGAAGCTAGGAGGAAAAAAAAGAAATAAAGGATAAAAATCGTGAAAATTCGTCAAGCTTCTGTACAATATATAATTTTCTGAACGTAAGAGTCCAAGGAAAAGCAGCAAAGTACGTGAAGAAAAGAGACTCCACTGGCTGCAGGGCTAGCATAATTTTGTGGGCACATTAGCAGTACCCCTTCCTTCTTAGCCAGGAGACCTCTGGAGATGTACCATCTGGGCTCCTGGCGGCGTAGAGTAGTTGATGCATCTAAATATCTTGTCCCATCCCCCATTTAAGGACCTGTCTTAAGAGCACTTCATTTGTCTTTAAACAAAACGTTTCCCTGTTGCACACATTTGTAGCCTACTCGGGCCCTCATGATCAGTTTCACATTGAGGTCTGAGAAACATGCCTAGTTAGAGTCAGTTTATAGAACCGATGACTCCTACCTTTAGCTCTGGTGAATGATTCGGCCCCGTGGGTCCCCTTGTCTAGCTGACGATCAGGATTTCCTGAGGAACTTCCCCAAAGTTCAGATTCTTGGGTCCCACTCCAGACTTCTGAATCAAATCTCTGGCGGTAGGGCCTAGAGATCTTTATTCTTAACAAGCACACTAAGTGAAAATGATGTACTCCATCTCATTTAGGAATGATTAATCTGTTTCCTTCTTACTTGAGCAGTCAACTCTGCCTGCCTCTGGACTACTCAGTAAGGACCTTCCCTACCTCCACTCTGGCCCTTAACAATTGGACAATGAAACAGGATCTTAAGCATAACATCCATACAGATGTAGGGGGGACAGGCAGGAAGGGGGTTTTCACACAAGTTAGAGGGTTTCTATGCCTCTACTACTTTTCCAGAGAAATCAGTTTGAATCTTCTAACCATATGGGATTCAAATGTCCCTAAACACTTCATTGTTGGCCCAATATTCCTGCGGATTCCAGCAGGGTGTATTCTTAGGTTAATTAACAGTCAGTCTGTCAGCTAGAAAGCCCAATATTGAGAATGCAGAACAGGAATATAAGCTAGGCTGCTATTGAATGTGAAGGTATGTCTCTGGTGCTTATCTTTTGATATTTCAAATAACAATCACTTACCCTTGACCTATTTTTTCAAATCTTGTGTATTTTTTCTTTGGGTCACCAACACTCACAATGCTTCCTGTGTTTGGGGTGGGGGGAGAGAGGAAGAGAGAGAGAAAGATTTAAATTGGTTTATCTCCCTTCATTTCATACTGAAAATTACAATGCCCGAGTCCATGACAAAACATTGGAGTGATATTCCCATGTAATTTCTGTAATTTACATGGGTAATAATACATTTTATTAAAGTAACACACAGTAATACATTAATTAAAGTAGTTGTAATAACCCATGCTGCTTTTATATTCAAAATTGATGATGTTTGGGAAACAAAAAGGACTGGACACAACTCAACATTTATAAAAAGTTCCCATAAAGGAGATGGTAGACTAGGAGATAAAAAAATCTAAGGATTTGTGTGCACTATTTAATAGAATCACAATCTTCTCTGAACTGGAGTAAAATTGAGAGCTACATCACATCCAGTTCTTCTGGACAAATCTCTATTGAGCAATTATTATGTTCCGAGTACTGTGATAAGGGTGATGGGCTCATAAAGAACAAAGTCTAATCACAAAGTAATGAGACTCATGGTTTTGGAAAATCTACATTCCCGAACCCAGGGCCCTACTTGCACTCCAGACATTTTGCAACAACTTTACTCGAATATGATTTCACCAGTGCTCCCAAACATACGAAGCAAACACTGACAGCAACGAAAGGGGGTATCGACAGCAACACGATGCTGGTCAGCGACTTTAATTAATAGCTCACTTTCCATAATGGATTGAATAACCAGAGAGAAGATCAACGAGGAAATAGTGAACAACACTATAGATTGACTGGAGCTCAGACGGATACAGAACACTTCACCCAACAATGGCAGAGTACACATTCTTCTCAAGTGCACATGGAACATTCTCCAGGATAGATCGTATGTTAGGCAACAAGTCTTACTACATTTTAAAAGATTGAAATCATACAAAATGCCTTTTTTAATCATAATGGATGCAAATAAAAGTTCAGTGAACAGAAAGATGACTAGAGAATCCCAAGGTATTTAAATAAGACTTGTGTGAAGGGAGATACCTCAAGAGAAATGTAAAAATAGTTTGAACCAAATTAAAATTAAATACAACCTACCAAATTATGTGGGATGCAGCAAAAACAGTGTAAAACATTTTTTTAAAACAGGAAAAAATTAAGTGTGCCATTCAATGGTTTTCAGTAAATTTTTTGAGTTGGGCAAATTTATTAAATTTCACCAGGATCTAATTTTAGAACATTCTGGTCATCCCCAAAATGGAACCTTGTACCTGTTAGCACTCTTCATCCCCCTGCCCTGGTTTCCCAACCCATCCCCAGGCAACCACCAATCTACCTTGTGTTTCTACGGATTGTTCCAAACACTGTAGAGGAAGGTTATAAACCACCCAGGGGAAAAAAAACCCATTAATTTATCATGTTTTGACTCTGGGAGAAAATATTGGTTTTGTTATTTCAAAATATCAAATTTAGTACTCAGAGGATGAATATTTGCCACCACTCAGAATAAATCCGAAGGAAGTGCCACTGATTCTTCAAATGGTGTTCAAATGGGTGCAGAAAAATTCTGGGCCATAGCAGCACCGTGGGAATATGGGTTCAGCTTCTCAAGCAGACTACCTTGAAGGGAATAATTTATTTGCATGCCTCTGGCTCTCCCTTCGTTTTTTTTTTTTTTCTTTTAAGCAAACATCATTATTGTTACCTTTGAATTATATCTTACTAATATGGCCCCTGTTCCAAAGAAGTGTAGAGTCAGTAAGATAAGATTTACACCATGAACTAATCAAGAGAAGATCTATAGACTCTACCTCCTAATTGTTACTCTTATTCATTCCTTCCTCTTCACGCCCATGGCCACTGCCATTGTTCAGGCCCTTAACATCTCTTGCCCAAACAATTGCACTAGTCATTACCTACTTCGAAATGCTACCTTCTCTAATTATCTTCCGCAATGCTTTTGGAACAGGGTGACCATATAATTCACTAACTAAGTTTGTCCTGGATAGACTGAGATGTATGGTCACCCTACTTCAGAATGATTTCACTCTTACTTATAATTCCTCAAAAGTTTCTCCTTGCTACATAATCAAATTCAAATCTCAGTCTGGCACAGAGGGCTCTTTACCCTATCTAGGGCTCTAACACCATCTAACTCCTATCTAACCAGACTGACCACATAGAATTCCACTCTCCATCCCTCCTACTTTACACCCTAGTAATGGTATCACTATCCAAGGCTTAGGTCTCTGCAGATGCTTCCCCTTTCCCTTTCCTAGAGAACCCATGAATTCCTATTTATTATTTAAACATTATTTCAAAGCCATCCTATTTTGTGAATTCTCCTCTGATCCTTCTAATGAGACTTCCATGTTCCTTCTTGAGGGCAGGAACCTTTGTCTTTTCATCCCTGTAACTTCAGTGCCAAGATCAATGGCCACCACTGAACAGATATTTGTTGACTAAATTAATGAGAACAAGAAAGTGCGCGTTCAAGTGCTAAACTGTGTGCTACAAACAACACCCCATGTAAATTCAGACCTACCAGTAGATGGTATACCTTGAAAAAAAAAAGTTTCAGCCATGGACTGCTCATCAAGCTGTTAGGTTTATTGGTGGTGGTGGTGGTGGTGGTGGTGGTGGTGGTGGTGGTGGTGGTGGAGGTTTGTTTTTTATAATAGAGCTCCATGTTTCAGTGAAGTTAAATAAGACATAGACAGTGTGTGAGCTGTTCTAATTCTTTTTCTCTTGCATTTCTCATCTCAGTCCGTGGTACTACCATCTGTCTACTCAGTAGCCTGAGTCAGAAACCCGGAAGTCATCTCTGACTCATCCCTCACCTCCACTCCCCCAATGCAGTTGTCCACTGAGTCTTGAGACTATGTCTGTTTACCTTCTAGATACCTTTTCAGTGGCACCTGGGTGGCTCAGTAGGTTAAGCGTCCAGCTCTTGGTTTTGGCTCAGATCATGATCTCACATTTCGTGAGATCGAGCCCAGTGCCGGGCTCCTTGCTAATGGTATGGAGCCTGCTTGGGATCCTCTATATAACTCCTTCTCCGTCCCTCCCCTGCTCTCGATCTCTCTCTCTCTCTCAAAAGAAGATACCTATGCAATGTGGACCCTCCTCATTACTACTGTTCTGGTTGGGCAGGCTATGACAACAGCCTCCTAAATGTACTCCCAACCGTCAGCCTCTTCATACTCCAGTCCAGGCTCCACACCTCTCTCTGGCAGGAGGCTCTAAATGCAAAACCGATCATGTGATTCCCTGGTTCATGGGTCCTAGACACTCCCCTGACACCTCCAGGGTAAAGCTCAAACTCCTTGGTATGGGGTACAAGGCTCTTCATATCTGATTCTTGCTTCATTTTCCAGTCTCCTCTTCCCCACTTCACCACTAGAACCTCATGTTTTGACCATGCCAAATTGCAACTCATGCTCCTGCTTTCCAGTTGCGCTTCCTCTCTTAAGACTGCAATCCTACCGCCCACCTACTAATTCTATATTCAAGTGACATTGAATAAGTTAGCATTCCCAGGCATGTGCCTTCATACCTTCTACACATGCTAGCCTCCTGCCTGGAATGTTCTTAAATTTCAAGTTCCAATTTTCATGCTTCAATTCAGCTTTGATGGCGCCTCTTCTAGGAAGCCTTCCCTGACTTGTTTTGAATAACATTAATAATTCCGCTTCTCTCTAGTACTGTACCTTCTCTCTCTCTTTCGGTCTCTCTTTTTGCACTTAGTCTGTTTCTCTACACCTAATACACCACGTATCCATCTCTATGTATCTGATGTCCCCTTATAGACTGTATCTTAAGAACAAGAGTCATTGCTCATTCATTTCTCTACCCTCAGTACCTCCTTATATAATGTTGTGTGAGAAATACACTAGTTGCTCAATAGATGTCTGTTGAAGTAAACTCAAATAAAGTTGGGAATTTCCTTTTGAAATTGCCCCATATTTTAAGACAGGGGCTGGAGAAGGTATTTTACTTGATTTATTGCTATAGAATGCCACCAATTTAACAGTTTCTGAATCGCCACTTCACATTTCAAATTGTTTTACAGATCTCTACATCATTGAGAACTAATTATCCTTATTCAAGTCAGCAATTAATGGATAAGGGCCTGGACGTTTGCTTTTTTTTTTTTTTCTTTTGAATGAAATGATAATTTCAAAATCACTTGAAACCATCATTTTATTTAGGAGTTTATAGTCTTCTAAAAAAGTTATATTATTAAGTTGCTGAGCAAACTCTTTTCCATAGACTGAACAAAAAGCAAATAAGCTTCAGCCCAAGCCGCTTTCTGAATTATGACCAATTTCAATTGGCAGGGTTTGGTTAATGAGGTTTTATGGTAGTAAATTACTCAACCTTTATTTCCTTGGTATGCAGAGTAAAAAAAAAAAAACAAACTGGAAATAAATCCTTTCATGAGGATTTACCAAAAGACAACCATTTTGATGAGCTCCTGCTTCTGAACTGCTATTCAGATAAAATGGCTTCTCCACACCCATTACCATTCACAGGAGAGCGCGTGCTGCCATCTACTGATGTCAGGCAAGTACACAGGAGGTCTTGTTTACGATTCCGAGTCACAACACAAGCTTTTCAAGTGACTTCTTTCATCAGAGCCACTGTAATTTGCTTTTTTATACATTACACTAAGGAAAGGGGAAAAAGCCCACTGTGACACAATAGGGGGGGAAAAGTGACGAAAATCAGCTACTCAAAATCAAAAAGGAGAAAAAAAAAAAAAAAACCCGAGAGCAAGACCAGAACAATTTCCTGCCAGGGCAAATTCTTAAATAAGACACAAACTATTCATTGTAAAGTATAAGGATTTAAGAAATCGCTAAATAGTAGTATTTGAAAATCGGTTCCGTGATGTGGTTTCAGTGGCAGGAAAGCCGATCAATGTATTTTCCTACATATTAAGCTAAGTTGAACTCCAACCATGAAAAGATTATTAGCCCCTTACAGACCGAACGTTTTGATTCCTGAGAAAAAAGCAAAAGAATTCTCGAAATTACTATTAGTCCTTTCTGAGGGGATAGAAAAGTCTTGGGCGGGCGGTGCAGGAGAAGGGGAGGGACAAGAAGTGGAGGTGACTTATGGGGCCCAAGACAAATTTCCTGCGTTGCACATTTTCGCTGACAGCGCCTTTTGGAACTTCTAACATGTAGGGGTTTCTTTAGTTTCCAACAGATTCAGACAGACCACAACGAACAAGCCAGACCCAGGCTATCTGTCTGTGTAAAACTGAAAGTTGATCTGTTTGTTTCAGCTACTAATGATCCCATGGTCTGGCCCCCACAATCAGCATCTGCGCCGAAGAGGAATAGCTGGGCGGCTCTGTGGTCTGTGCTGCCCACCTCACAGTCACTGGATCCCTGAGCCTGCTCTCCCTACTTCCCCGTGCTCATGGCGGGGTCTGCTCTGGGATGGGCTGTGGGCTATTCCTCCAGCACTCTGTCTGCCTTCCTCCTCTCCTTGGCTTCTCAGCACAGGGTCCTTTACTCCTTCCCGAAGCTCCAACAGGGGCCTGATCCCAAGGTCCCCCAGTGACTGCTGCATAGGGACCATACGTCTTGGATTATTTCTGGTTTCAAACATTCTGTCCCGCTGGAAGACCTCACGCTCCAATTTTTCGTGTCACAAAATCCGGTTGCTCTCATTTTGCAAAAAACATCAGAGTTATATCCTACTCTTTCTTGTGCTTGGCGTCGTACATACTTTACCTTGTTTAGTCCTCACAAAATCCCTGTCACATTCGTACTATTATTGCTGCCATTTTTCTTTTTAGAAATCGTAGATTTTTTTTTTCATTTTAGAGAGTGAGAGAGAGCATGTGAGTGGCGGAGAGGGGCCGAGGGGGGAGAGAGAGAATCTTAAGCAGGGTCTATGCTCAGCGTGGAGACTGATGCGGGGCTTGATAGATCCCATGATCCTGGATCATGATCTGAGCCAAAATCAAGAGTTGGATGCCCAACCACCTGAGCCACCCAGGTGCCCGTACCTCCATTTTTCAAACGAAGAAACTAAAATTCAGAGGAGTTGAGTGATTTGCCTGAAGCCACACAGCGAGTGTGGGCCTAGAACTTAGACTTCCTTATGATTCATTCCAAAGCATGTCCTATTGTCTTATCAAGGCTTTATACTCATGTAATAAAATAGTAATTGCCATTTATTGAGCTCCTACTGTGTACCAGGTACTGTTGCTGAGGTTTTTACATGCATTATTCTCATTTAATTATTATAACGCTATTTTTTATTACAACCCCTATTTTTATAAATACAAAGAGGAATAAGAGGTCAAGGAAAGTTAAATAACTTGCCCAAAGTAACACAAGCAATGGGCTGGTCATTTCTGGCTCCAATATATTCCTCTTAGTCATAGTTGAGCTACATAAAATTCATCCGATAGACACAGTCCTGAAATGTAGTTATAGTTTTTGACAGATAAGAAACTGAGGCTTGGAGGGGTTCAATAAATCGTCTAAAGTCATACAGCAAGCACATGGCAGAGAGGGGGTACACAGAGGGCAATGGTGCAACAGAAGCAAGAAAGATCCCACTTTGCAGACTTTGCAGAATAGCTCAGCCTGGACCCACTCCGTGAAAAGTACCCTCCCCCCCGCCATTTTTCTACAGGTTCTCCCTGCCAATATCTGGAAGCACAAGGTAGGGCCGGCAGTCATCGGTGGTCCAGTGGCTCAAGAGAAAATGAGTCTCTCGAGGCCCGAGCATTCTCCAACAGAGGAGAAAACACTTAATTCTTAATCAAATGTAGTCTTCCCCTCTTCATCACGTTGCTCAGTGCAGGGCAGAATAAACGACCAATGGAAAAGACCAGGGGCACCTGGGTGGTTCGGTCAGTTAAGCGTCTGACTTCAGCTCAGGTCGTGATTTCGTCGTTGGTGGGTTTGAGCCCCGCATCGGGTTCTGTGCTGACGGCTCGGAGCCTGGAGCCTGCTTCAGATTCTGTGTCTCCCTCTCTCTCTGTCCCTCCCTGCTCGTACTCTGTCTCTCTCTCAAAAATAAATAAACATTACAAAATTAAAAAAAAAAAAAAAAAAAAGGAAGGCCCGAGCTCAAGGGCCATTGCAGTGTGCAAATACTGCAGGATTTTGCCCCAAGAGAAGAATGCTTGTTTCTCTGTCACTGAATGTAAAAAACCCAAAAATGCATTTTAATTATAATAAATCAATTAAGATTTGAAACAAATGCCGGTAACAGTCATTTTTACTAAAGCGATGCTGTTAGATTTTAAAAGTCTGATCAAGGGGCGCCTGGGTGGCGCAGTCGGTTAAGCGTCCGACTTCAGCCAGGTCACGATCTCGCGGTCCGTGAGTTCGAGCCCCGCGTCGGGCTCTGGGCTGATGGCTCGGAGCCTGGAGCCTGTTTCCGATTCTGTGTCTCCCTCTCTCTCTGCCCCTCCCCCGTTCATGCTCTGTCTCTCTCTGTCCCAAAAAAATAAATAAACGTTAAAAAAAAAAAAAAAGTCTGATCAAATCTCACAGGTCATGTCTCTGTGTACAAAATGGGGTGGGGGGGGAGTTGAGGTTAACAGTCTGAATAACTGAACTGAAATTACCCAGGCAATTATTTCTTTTTCCTTCCCTTTTACATATACAGACAGTAGGGATGCACAGAAGCAAAGTGGGTAACAGAACGAGTTGTAACCTTTGAAGGTAAACAGATTTGAGTTCAGACTCTGGCTCTGCCACTCATTAGTTTGGTGACTTGGTCGCTTTAGCCTCTTTTTGAGGCTGACTCTCACTGATCTGTAAAATAAGGATGTTGAAATCTACCACAAGGGCTTATTAAGAAAAGTAAACGTTCTGATGTATGTAAAGTGGCCAGCACAGAGACTGCTCCATAAATGGGAGTTATTACTATTGTTAGTATGGCAAATAGTAGGTATTAGCACTACAGGCATATTTAATCACGTATAGTAAAGTCAGTTGGCTGAAGTCGAGTGATTCCAGCTCCAAATGCTCAGTGCCAGCTGCAACCCGAAACTCTGCCTTTCCAAACACCTCTAGCTCAGAATGTCTCAACTTCAACACTGCTGACCTTCTGTGCTGAATAATTCTTTGTTGCAGAGGGGCAAGGAGGGGGGCTTGTCCTTAGCATTGTAGAGATTTTGGAAGCCTCCTTCACCTCTATCTACTAGATAGAGCACTTCTTGTGTTGTGACTATAAACAGGTCTCCACATGTTGCCAAGTATTTCCTGGAAAGGCAAAACGGCCCCACAACCCTCTCTGCAGAGTCTCCCTGTGGCCTATAGCTGGCACTGCTCTCTTTCTTTTCTGAGGCTTTTTAGATGGAAATTTGCATGAACAAGAAGGCTTCCTACACTCTAATTGTATCACATTATCGAATCTTATGGTCCAAATCAAATTGTAAGTTTCTCGATAGCAGGAAATTGCTTTTCTATGCTTCCCTCCAAAAATTCTTGCATGGAACAGACAAGTAGGAACTCAGTAAAGGTACACTTTTTGCTCATTTTTTCATTCATTCACTCAAAAAGTATTTGTTAAGTCCCTTTATGTTCTAAGCACTTTATTAGGAGCTGGACATACAGGAAAGGGAGACACAGTGTCTTCCCTTGAGGAGCTCACAGCCTAAGTGAAAGATTGGACGAGTACGGTGTGACTTGTTGCCATAAAGGCAGCAAAGAAGAGGGGCCTTAACTCAGACTGGGAGAAGCACAGAAGGCTTTCCTGAGGAGGCAACTTTTGAGTTGGGTTTTGAAGGATGAGTAGGAGTTAGTGACACTGGGGGCACCAATTGCCTATAAGTAGAAATTTGTTAGATGTTTTTGTAGTATGAGCTTAACGAATGTGCTTCACAGACCTGTGACTCTTCTCAGCAGACAATGCATTTTACTTAGGCCTCCTTGACCCAGAAAGCTCACCGAAAGAGGACTGTTTTGTCAAACTGGAGTCAGTGTATATGCACAAGTAGGTACCCAAAAATGACACTGTGGGTGGGAGGGTTGCTAGCATTTGCTGGCCCTGTCCCCTTCTCCACATAGAAATGCGCCTAAATTAAGGGAAGAGGCTGTATTACTGTGGCTGCTGGTTTGATTGACTGTGTTGGGCTTTGAGGCTGACTTACTTATCATGACAGATCAGTTGGGAGACCTTGGGCGATGATCAAAAGATGTCACCAGATTATTTTATTCCTTTTGGGAGTGTCATCTTAAAATAAAGCTTATTGTTTGATTCATTATGGCAAGTTATCACCTTAATTGATCTTTTCAAGTGAAAATATTTAGCTTCTGCCAGATTTGGAGTGTGGGGGAAGGAGTGATCTGGAATACACAGCAAGTGCCAAACTTTACATCTTTTGACTTCAGGGGGCCTGGAGTTTATGCAAACAGGCCCAAACTTTTAAAGGATCAGTTTTTCAGTTTAAACGTTTTTTGAGAAGCCATCCCATGAAGAAAGTAATGATGGCAAAAAGAAAAACTCACTTAGCTTCTCTAGGATCTCCTCATCTGTCATCTTGGATTTTTTCCTTTGCCGATCTGTGTTTCTATACAAAGTACTGGAATTGGCATTCTCCGCAGAAGGTGGTGCGACCTCTTTATTTGGTGCTGCTGGTGAAGCAATGGATTCAAGCACAGAACGAGTGTAGATCTTAAAGACAAGAAAAAAAGTTCTACGATGAAAACAGTAGGTCAAGGAAAGAATATGAAGTCAAGATGCTAACGTTTCTGTGAGGTTTTCTTTTTTGGATTAAGATGAAATCTTAAAGCAGATTTTGGTTCACAGCAAAGTCGAGCGGAAGGTACAGATTTCCCATCTACCCCCACCCCCCACAAACGTCACAGCCTCCCTTATCACCAACACCACCCCCTCCATCAGAGTGGGACATTTGTTACAACTGATGAACTTACACTGACATGTCATAATCACCCAAAGTCAATAGTTTATATCTGGTTCACTCTTAGTGTATACATTCTATAGGTGTGGACAAATGTATAATGACATGTATCCATCATTATGGTGATGGAGTTTTGTCACTAGCTAAAAATCCTCTGTGCTCTGCCTATTCACCCCTCCTCCCCACCCCAACCCCTACCCCCAATAAGTTTTTAAAGACAAGTGTTCGATTATTAAAAAAAGAACTTTAAGTTGCTTCAAATACACTGCCCTTGGAAGCTCACAGGACCCAGTCCTTTGAGGTCCTCACATATCCTGAGCTAATTCTGGTCTCAGTGTCTCTGCTTAGGCAATTCTTCCTACTTAATTCACATGGATTTCCTTCTCTAATTTAACATCTGCAGCAATTTTATAACTTAGCGCTTCTTTGTACATTGTTCAGTATCATTCTCTAGTTGTCACGTACTATCCTGTATCCTCAAATAGCAACTTCAGCCAAGGTTGTATCTTGTATTCTAGTTCTGGGAACACAGTGGATCCTCAATAGGTATTAGTTGGTTAACTAGATTCTGACTTTACGATTGCTCCAAAGGGCATCTTCTGAATCATTTAGAAAACAGTCATTTGTGGCTTACTGATTTCGTATGCTCTGGTCTTGGCGCAATAACCGGCGGGGGCTCATTGTCGTCTTCTTCTTCTTCCTCTTCTTCGTCTTCTTCTTCGGACACAGGAGGAGCCAAAGGAGGCTCTGATGCTGTTTTTGTACTCTTGTGACAAAAAACAAAGTTTAAAGACCAGGTATTAACGCCTCGTTGTTTTTCTTCAGAAATGAGAAAAGGGAAATGAGCTAGGAAGAAACTGCACCTTTTACAACTGAACAGAAGAACCATCTACAATTTGGTGATCAGTTCTGCCCACATTCGAAGGTGAATTCAAGCCACGGTTTGAAACATCATGACAAGAAAAATTTTTTTAACATCATGAAATTTTCAAAATCTTGTTATTTTCCACTGGGCTCAGAAACAGTGGGCTAGTCATTTAATATGTGAAAGTTCAATGCTCTTGAAATCAATGAATATTTTTTTTAAATGCTATAAAGCCTTCAATTTGTACCGGGCAGCTTGTCAACCTGTTGATTGATATTTTGTCGACCAGAAACAGGCTATGTTGTGCCTGAGGATCAGAGCATGCATATGGATATGGTATTAATACAGCTCTGCAAATACTCACTAAGTACAAGCAAGCCCAAAAATGTTGCTCCCCTGTTCATCCTCCTGGAAAGAAGCACTCAGAGAGTAACAGACAAGCAGAGCTAAGGGATATTCATCAACAGAAATAATTATTCAGTCTTAACCAACAGGTAAATGGTGATTTGCAATGTTAAAAATGGCAATAACAGCACCAAAAATAACAACACCTGTAGTATCTAGGACCGGTTCTTGATCATTCATGTTAATGCCGGGTAAAAGCACAATTTTGAAAGAACTGTAGCCATGGTTCTCAAAGTGTTGTCCCCAGGCCAGCCTCATCAGCATCATCAAGGGACTTGTTAGAAAAGCAAACCCTTGGGCTCTATCCACACCAATGAATCATAGATCTGGGAGTGGGGTCTAACAACGTGTTATAACAAGCCTTTCAGGTGATTCTGGTTGAGGCTCAAGTTTAAAAATCATTGAACTATGATATAGGTCTGTGCTGTCCAAGATGGCAGCCACCAGCTCTCCATGGCTAATGAACAGTCACAGTGTGGCTAGTCTGAATTGAGATGGGTTGTAAGTATAAAGTATACACCAGACGTTGAATATGGAACATGAAAGAATTGTAAAATATTTCCTTGATGAAAAATATTTCCCTTTATGTTGGTTATAGGTCGACATAGTAATATCTTGAATACATTGAGTTAAATAAAATAGTATTAAAATTAATTTCACCTATTTCTTTTTACTTTTTTTCAAAGTGGCTACTAGAAAATTTAAAGTTACACATATGGCTTTCATAACATTCACTTCTGTTGGAAAGTACTATTACAGATGTCTTTTTATGTTTTGTTTTGTGTGTGTATTTGTTTTTTGTTTATGCCTTTGGGTATGCTGGCTCAAGCTAATCCTAAAAAGAATTTTCCTTTCTTGAGGACAAAGCTCCTGAGGTAGATAGGGAGCCTACTAATAGACTATTACCTCAAAGGACCTCAGCCTACGATGAAAATTCAACATGGATTTTCTACAATCATGTATAAACCGATGGTAAAGTTATAAGGTGTAATCATATATTGGATTGGAGACAGCAAGATTTATCTACTGTGAAAAGGAAGACAACTTAGAATTTATAAGCACTTGAAAGAATATTTGCTTACCCTGATATGTGGTTTATAGACTGAAATTGATGATGCTTACTTGATACTGGTTTTCTTATTTTTTTTTTAAGTTTTATGTTTGTTTATTTTTGAGAGAAAGAGAGAGAGTGAAAGAGAGAGAGAGAGGTATTGGAGGAGGGGCACATTCAGAGGGAGACGAGAATCCGAAGCAGGCTCCGTGCTGTCAGCGCAAAGCCTGATGTGGGGCTCGAACTCATGAACCTGTGCGATTATGACCTGAGCCCAAGTCAGACGCTCAACCAACTGAGCCACCCAGGTGCCCCTGGTTTTCTTATTTATACACCTATATTTGTTCTTATTCCAGGCAAAATAGCGAGGCTATTACATTGTATCGTGGCTGCGTTGAAAGCAACATGTGTTAATGACATTAAGTTTTCAGATAAAAAAAATCAGTTTCTTCTCATGAAAGACTAACTCTTCAGGGCACTTCAGTGGTCGCGGGAAGAAACTGCCTTTAGGTTACTGGTGTCTGCTTTGCTATCACTTTGTTTCAGAAAGTTCTGCTCTATCTTACGCCGGCTGGGATCAAGAATGCACCTAGTTACCGTTTGTTGGTAGAAGGAGCAGAACCTGCCTATCAACTGACTACTTTTTATACGGCAAACAAAGCTATTTTATCTGCCGGGCAATAAGAACTATGCCTAGGGATAGTAACCTTTATGAGGGCCTAGGAAAATATGAGAAGTCAGAAATAAATCACTGGCTCCAAAATGCTACAAAAACCTCTAAAATCTAAAGTCATTAATGTCTCATTACGTGTCTATGAAGTGTAACTACATGTCAACTTAGTTACTTAAATTTAGTATATATTTTACAGGAATTGCATTACATTAAAAAACAAATTGTAGGTTAGAGTGTCTTATTTAGTAACAGTTCTTCAGTATTTATGATGATTTCCAATAAATTACGCCTAACCATGACTCTAATGCTACCTGCAATCAACTAATGGTCACAAGCACTGTTTTAAAAAATCACTTGAAAAAGTGTATGGCAAAAAAATTAAATGGGATTATGGGAGCCCTTTAATATATTTGATACAATGCATCATGTGGCCTCCATAAGAGAGTGTATATACAACCTGTGAGCACCTAAAATAATCCCTGTGGCAAATATAATGGGCCTAGGTCTGGGCTTCTCAGACTGGTACAAAGACCAAGCAGTCCTACTGACCAAGATGTAGGCTTGCACATCTCAACCATCGCTACTTCAGTAAAGAAGACGCACCTGCAAAATATCAGTTTCTCAACATTCATTACCATCCTCTCTATTCCCGTTTAATATGGGGGACACTCTCCATCTCCAAGGATGGACTAAGGGACTATTAGGAAAACCTAAAGTCTTTCATCTTCTTGAAAGTTTGTAAGGGAGGAGGAAGACCCGTATTTCTGCTTATCTGGTACCAAACACTAGGCTGTCATATTGGCTGGCTGGTTGGTTGAGAAGAATGTACGTCCTTCAGGGGACATTGTCTTTTGCATGATGGATGGGCCAGGGAACATTAGCTACCCAGAACACACCTAGAACACCAGGCATTGGTACGGAGAACTGAAATCAACATAATTTCCTACCCCTGTGCTAAATAATACCAGGACCAGGCACTGGTCCCTTGTCCAACCTGTGTAATTAACACTGGGGCGGGGCAGTGTTATTTTTCTTTTCCTGTGGTAAACCAGCATCGAGACAGCATATTTTCCTGTTCTTATGTTAAACAATACTGAGAGCAAGCAAAAACAACATCTTCAAGAAATGGTTGTTCTTGAAAGATAAGACTGAAGTATTTTACTTAGTCATAATAACACCTTGCTCACCAAGACTCTCTTCAAGACTCTCGCTTCACCAATCTAAAGCTATTTAACCATAAACACTGCACAATCCTAACCTTATAAGACCTGCTTTAAAATCACATAGCCATGCTCTAAAACCCTACAAATGTTCTCCCCTGACAGCCCCTGTCTAAGACACTGCTAAAGCTCTATAAAGGGAGGGGCTCTTACTTGCGGCTCAAGTTTAATAAACAGCTTCGCTTGATTAACAGGTTTCTCAGGTGGTCTTTTTTGGGAGTCACAGGTATAATGTCGCTATGCTCTTCCTTCTAGGCTGAAAATTACTATGACTGTCTAAACTTGAAAAAAATATATAGATACTCCGGTTTCTCTTCAGATGATGACCAGAGGTGAGGTGAGGAGGGTAGAGGGACGGGTGAAATAGGCCATGGGGATTCAGGAGTGCACTTGCTGTGATGAGCATCAGGTATTGTACGGGAGTGTTCAATCACTCTATTGCATGCCTGAAACTAACAGTAATTACACTGGTAACTAACTGGAATTTAAATAAAAACTTAAAAATAAGTTTTTAAAAAGCCAAAAAAATACAGATAGATGAACAGCAAGTAAAGAATATTTTTGTCTTATTAAAATTTTGTGGGGCCCCTGGGTGGCTTAGTTGGTTAAGCGTCTGACGCTTGAGCTCAGCTCAGGTCGCAATCTCAGGTTCATGGGTTCGAGCCCCGTGTCGGGCTCTGTGCTGACAGCACAGAGCCTGCTTGGGATTCTGTCTCCCTCTCTCTCCCCCTCCCCCCTTCAAATAGATAAGCTTAAAAAATTTTTTGTGATACACTTCTTTTGCCACACAGTGCGGCAGGGGAGGTAATTCTTTACCTGAGCTAGGTCCTGGAGTCTTTTAGAATTCTGAAGTGTTTGGCCAATCTCTCAAAATGATTACAGGTAGATATGTGCTTTTCCATATAATATCAAGGGTTCATAGATCTTCTGAAGCCCATCCATATGGCCTGTAAGTTATAAACCCTGCTCTGAAGAATACACTAGCTAGAGAAGCTACCTTAGGAAACTCTTCTTTCTTTGAGCTTAATTGTTAAAGGTCAAAGGAATTAGAAGTAAGGACCTTAGAGCCTTTAGATAATGCAAAATGTGGTCTTTGGTCACTTTTCCTGCTTGTTTAAGAGGGAGATTTGAGGGTTCCATTCACGATCGACTTGCGAACTCCCCAGGCAATTCTGATACACACTGAAGTAAAAGAACCACTAATCTAGGTGAACAAAATAAACCAGGACTTCAAATCAAAAGCTCAATCTGTGTCAACTACACACCCAGCTTCTCTGGACACAAATCGTGACCTATTCATATTACTGTTGTTACCTTCCGCTCAGAACACCGGTACGGGATTCTAAATACATTACTTCACTCTCAATAGTACAATAAACATATAACATTTTAAAGTAGCCTTAAATTGAAGAGTAGGTCCCTGAATAATATTTAGTGTTTAATATACTAATATCAAAGAAGCTACCACAAGTGAGCAGTAAAGCAGATGTCATAGGACCATGGGAGGTATTGCTGAATTCAATATTAATTATATAGTCATTAGTTAAAAATATTTAGTGACTACAGCACTGCTTCTATTGTAATTCCCACCCAGGCTAGTAAAGGAGGCCAAAACTGGTGATCAATTTAGGCCGCGTTTATAAGGAGATAGTCCAATCCCATTAAGTCAGATCCTATAGGATAGCTAGGTCTACTTGGGAGGGTTCCTAATGCAAAGAAAAACAAACAAACAAAAAAAAACATAAGCAGTGTCAAGTGCAATCTCCTCCTAGAACCATAAGGAGAGCACAGGGTCCTCTCTACTCCCCATTCCTAAGCAGCTGAGTCCCACTGAAGGGATCCAATCTGAACTCAAGGGTCTAATCCAGTTCATTCAATCAATAGAAACACAACCTTAGTTAAGTAGTTTAATCAACTGTCTCCACCTGGAAGTCCTTCTGGCCCTTCAAACTCAGAACTATCCAACAGGAAACTCAGCATCTTCTCACAAAAGTTGCAACTCCTGAACAAGGGTGTCCTTGTCTTTTTGGCCGTCCTCATATCATTTTAAGCCTGCTATGAATCTTTGACCTTAACCTATTTTCCAACATCCGGTCAATAACCTAAACATGTCCAGAATTTGAACTTCCTCTCCATTCCTACTGCTACTATCTCAGGCCCTTATTACCACCTAAGGCCTGGATGCTTGTGCTGCTCCCCCAAGTGCTCTCCCTTCCTCCAGCCTCATCTTCTGCCTTTAATTCATTTTGGACGTTTGCTGTCAAATAACTTTTAACTGCCTAATTCTCCTGGTCCAAAAAACTCCAAGGGCTTTCCAATGTCTACTAGAAAATGTCAGATTTCTTAGACTAGTATGTAAAGGTCACTATTATCTGGCTCCACCTTAACATTCAAAGCTTAATTCCTATGATTCCCTTTCTTATATCTCAGTCTTCATTCAAACCCACACCTTTTTGTTCCCGTGCCCTCCCGACTACTGTGCCCTTTCCCATGTTTTTTCTTTTGCTTAGAATGCCCCACGCTATCTTCACAGATCCAAGTCCCACCTGACCTTCAAGACCTAGCTCAAATGCCACCTTTTATATGAAGCATTTTCCAACTCAATGTTCAACTAATATGTACCAAGTACCTATTTTGTACCAGGCACTGAGCTTAAGCTCTTAGAGACTAGGGCCGGCTTCCTTTTTCCTCCCCAGCGAAGAGCAAACTCTTTTCTCTGAGTTCTCATAGCAAATGGACATATTTGATGCTATGTAATATGGTCCGTATTGTATCGTGTTTCTTTATGTGCACACTTCTCTTCCCTTACCAGACTGAGCTCCAAATTTCCTAGTGCCTGTAAAGAGGCACTTGATAAATATATGTGAAAACATAAATATCCATTTGTTTTATCTCCAAACAGGGAGAACACCAGTTTGTTTCTGATTTGTTGGAATATTTTGATCATTATGTAGAGTTAGTTTGAATTCCACAAACAAAACCAACAGAAGCAAGCTCAAAAGAAAGGGAGAGTATTTTAGGATATCTAAACTGTTGATAAAACAAAACAAAACAAAACAAAACAACCTACAGACCATCCTGGCAGGTTAGTGTCTGAAATAAGTGACCTACCTAAAACAGATACCAACTATTTCTTTGCCAGAATACCCAGCTAGTATTCATTAAACGCTAATAATATTAATTAAACCAAGGGAGGTGAGGTACATGTTGGTCCTGGAAGGTTGCCATTTTTGTCTTTCTCACTTTAAGATGACCTCCCTTCACATGCTGTTTCAGTGTGGCCTAGGAATCTCTCACGGGAGAGGAGGAGAGGGGGGCAGAAATGACCAGTTACAATGGAAGAATGACATTCTACTCCGTTTTGGGGAATCTGAGCATGGCACAAGTACCATGGCATCACAGGAGCCTCATGCGTGGAGAGAGTGAGTTTTTCCTCATATTGCCATCTAAAAGTGATAGTAATACTAGGTTACACTTAATAAACATATAGTATGTGCTAGGTCATGTGCTAAGTATATTATATGCATTACCACATTCAGTATCCACACAAGTTTTAGGAGGTCGGTAACGTTATTATACCCAGTCAAAGCTGAGGAAAGACGGGCTCAGCAAAGCTAAGCCGCTTTCCCAAAGTTGCGCAGCTTGTAAGTGGAGGAGTAAGACTAAAAACACCTAGGTTCAGAGCCTTCATTCTTTTTTTTTCACTGTGGTAAAATACGCATAACATAAAAGTTACCATCGTGGCCACTGTTCAAACGTACAGTTCAGTAGCATTAAGTATATTCACACTGTCGTGCAACCGATCTCCAGAACCCTTTCCATCTTGCAAAAATTTAACCCTTTCTATGGAGTACTCTATACCTCATATAAGGAGAAACATACAGGATTTGTCTTTTCATGACTGGATTATTTCAATTGGCACAATGTCCTCAAGGTTCATCCACGTGGAAGCACGTGTCACAATGTCCTTCCTTTTTAAGGCTGAATAATATACCATGGCGTGGATATACCACATTTATTTATCCATCATCTGCTGATGGACACGGGAGTGGCTTCTACCTTTTATATATTGTGAATAATGCTGCTGTGAACATGGGTGTATAAAAATCCATTTGAAAACTTGCTTTCAATTCTTTCGGGCATAAATCCAGAAGTGGGATTGCTGGATCCTATGGTAATTCTGTACTTTTTAATATTTTATTTATTCTTGAGAGAGAGAGAGAGAAGGAGGGAGGGAGGGAGGGGCAGAGAGAGGGAGACACAGATTCTGAAGCAGGGTCCAGGCTCTGAGCTGTCAGCACAGAGCCCGACGCAGGGCTCGAACTCACGAACCACAAGATCCTGATCTGAGCCGAAGTTGGACGCTTAACCGACTGAGCCACTCGGGAACCCCTGGTAATTCTATTTTTAATTTTTGAGGAGCTGCCATGCTATTACATAGCCTTTACTCTTCACCACTAATGACCTACTGCTGTCATACGTGTTGCTCAGGGTGATATCAAGGAGGCCAGCATCTATCTGTCCTCTATAAAAGGTTCATTACCCATGACTCTTTGAACCAACAGGAAACTTCCACCACTGCTAATTATTTCATTCCTAAGGAAGCGAACAAAGCAGGAAATAATTTCTATCAAAAATCAAAATAAAATCACACAAAGGGAAGCCTTGTCTAAGATAATGTTCTGTCTAATGCGTATGGGTACGGTTGCAGATACCATATCACTTCCAAGAACTCTGAACTAGGTTACTTATGTTCTAGCCACTTCTCTGATAAAACTGTCTATGTGACTTTGGGCAAAGTCACCTTCGCCACTGCACCTCAGTTTGTTGGAACAGGTGACACTAAAAGCTTTAGGGGTATGACCTGAGATGAGTTACTTCGCCTCTCTGAACTTCATCTGTAAAACGGAGACAATGGTACAATTTACCTAATTTGGTTGCAAGAAAGGGTAAGTGAATGTCAAATGGTGTGATCCCAGGGGTGCCTGGGTGGCTCAGCCGGTTAAGCGTCCAACTCTGGATCTCGACTCGGGTCATGATCTCACGGTTCATGCGTTCGTCCTTCATTCGGGGCTCTGCGCTGACAGTGCAGAGCCTGCTTGGGATCGCTCTCTCTCTCCCTATCTCTCTGCCCCTCCCCTGCTCACGCTCTTCCTCACTCTCAAAATAAATAAAGAAAAAATGTTATTATCCCGGCGCCTGGCACATTGGTAAGTGTTCAGTAAAGAGAAGTCCCTATCATTATGATTACTTGCAAGATTCTATATGTGAGACAAACACAAACATTTATCTACCTAAAGGTTAAACACCTATGTTCACAGTAGCTTTATTTAGAATAGCCAAAAACTGTAAACGGGCCAGAGGTCCTCCAAAGGGTAGACTGTTAAACAGCGGTACACCCATACCATGGAATACTGCTTAGCAATAACAAGGAACAAACTACTGATAACACACAACTTGGATGAATCCTAAGAGCATTATGCTGAGTGAAGAAAGCCAATCCCGAAAGGTCATACGCTGTATTATTTCATTTACACGAAATCTCCACAAAGACAAATCTGTAATACCAGATTAGTGACTGCCTGGGGCTACAGTGGGGGTGGGATGGGGAATAACAGGAAGCAGGCCCTAAGGGATCTTAAGAGGTGATGAAAGTATTTTAAAACTGGATTGTGGTGAGGGGAGCGCTGGTATGTAAATTTACCTGGAGTCGTCAAACTGTGCACTTAAAAATGGGTTATATATTTTATGTTCTGTACATTTTATATACAAATCCTCTATTTTATATTTATATATATAATTATATATTTTATACATCGAAACGATACCTTTTACGTTATATATCGAAATGATACCTCTAAAAACCTGTTTTTTAAAATATCCTATGCCTAAGCTGAATCTGTGCAACCGTAGTCTGTTGGAGTGCCAGAAGCACTGAGGACTCTAAACCATTTTCAATTTTTCACTTACCGAAGGATGGGCTGCTATGTATCCGTGTGCACTTTTATCTGAAAAGTAAAGATAAAGATGTCACCTTTATTTCATAAAGACTGCCTCATTTAGAGGCCACAGTTAATAAAAAAAAAAAAATAACCTATGCAGGTTTAACCTTTGACTAGAAGGAGATTCTCCAATTCGGTATTAAACACATGCTGTGACAATGACATGATTTTTCTTTTCTGTTTTTAAAGTTTATTTATTTATTTTGATGGGACGCCTGGGTGGCTCAGTCGGTTAAGCATCTGACTTCGGTTCAGGTCATGATCTGACGGCTCTGAGTTTGGGCCCCACATCAGGTTCTCTGCTGTCAGCGTAGTGCCTGCTTCACATCCTCTCCCTCTCTTTCTCTGCCCTTCCCCTGCTAACTCACCCTCTCTCTAAAATCAATCAATCAATCAAATTTATTTGAGAGAGAGAGAGAGAGAGAGCAAGGGAGGGCCAGAGAGAGAGGGAGAGAGAGGATCCCAAGTAGGCTCCACACTGTCAGCACAGAGCCTGACGTGGGGCTCGATCCCACAAACTGTGGGATCATGACCTGAGCTGAAACCAAGAGTCAGACGCTTAAGTGACTGAGCCACCCAGGCACCCCTCACTTTTCTTAAAATAGCTCACACCCCTGCATCCTTACTACACCATTTTATAGACCTTAATGAAGGCCTCCAGCGAATCTCATCCATATGGAAGAATATTGAGATCACCTACTCCTGATTGGTATGAACCTAGACATCTATATCCAGAATCTCTCCCCTACCTCCTTCTTCCTTATCCTCCTCTCTCCTTCTCCTTCCTCGCTCCCGCCCTCCCTTCCTTCCCTTCAATTTCTCTTCTCCCTACCTCCTCCTACCCTATTCCTTAGTTGCCACACTAGAGCATCCCAAAAATGTCTGGTGGGTTTCACTCAGCTCAGACAAATACTGGAATGATGCATTTTTGGTCTTGGTCGCCTATAGTTCTACAGTGAACCTGGAGGACCGTTCTAGATTTCCTCACATTAAGCATTGCTTGATGTGTCACTAGGATCTCTTAGATATTTCACTCTATGTGGAAGACTAAATACCATGAAAAGCTCTCCTTGATTGCTTTTTTTCTTTTTTTGGTTTTCTCCACTGGAGAACAGCAGTTAAGCAATCTTCTCCGTTAAAATCGCCCCGTCGAGCAGGTGAATTGCTATATATATGCCTTAAGTTTGGGCTTTGACATTTGTTATGACCAAATGAGATGCTCCTCCCCTTCCAGGTGGGTCTTTGCACCATTCTTGAAGATATTTCAAGCCTGCCCTATATTTAAATCAATGCTGAGAGGTAGGGACGCTTTACAGCTGGGGCACTGATGATAGGATTCTCTCTCTCTCTCTCCCTCTTTTTTTTTTTTTTTTTTTT